TATAAAGCAGCTTCTTTCTTACCTTTCAAAAACAGCAAACATATCTTGTTGGAAGTGATCCAGACGCTTATAAAGTCCTTTATCCAGACGTCGCTTCACCAAGTCTAGTGATATCGCGCGGACTTTCTCGCCGTTAGAGGCTTCGTCGTGTTCCGGCAATTCCGCCATACTGTCTGAGTAACATCTGGAAATTACCATTACAAAAACTTTCAATTGTCTAGTTTTACAAAATTTATGTAACATTGTAAACGCCAACAATCAAATATTTAGCCCGAATATAGCAGCTATTATAGTATTTTTATAGTGCAACAAACACAAAAGAAACGCACCAAGTGGAAGACATTGGTGAGTTTGTCGGAAGCCTAATTTTAGTTCTCTTCCCCTTTCCACGCTTTTCGAACAAGGTAGTGATGTGAAGGAGAAGCATATTTGACTGGAAATTGGGATATCAGGTAGCAGAAATAATTTCGTTCTATGCGTACTTCCTCTATTATTAAATGTTGATGTCTATGGCAGTCGCTTCGTTATTTAGCAAATTTCGGTGGCTCTTTGTACGACTGTCACTTTAAACTATGAAAAAAGTCATGTTTTGGTACTGTTGTTATACATAGTTATATAAAATTATTTTTACCTGCCCTCTTCATCTTGATGGTTGTAAACTGAAGTGAACAAAGTGAGTAGTAAGTCTTGTACTGCGGAGGGCACATCGGGTACCGCATCGTCATCTTCCCTGAAATATTTAAATATACTCTAAAATAGTTAAAAACCTAGGCCAGAGAAGCTTCAATTCTATTCGTTAATACAACACTTTTTAATCTGCGCAAAGAAATTACTTCCATATTTGTCCGTAATTTAGAATTCAAATTTGGCAATATAAAACTTTATATATGAACAATTAACGATGCATCTAACAAGAAACTACGATAGGCAAGTAAAATCTACAATTCTTTCTATTTATAGAGAAAAAAATATTTTTCCTGTTAATTTCAAAATACAAAAGCATGTAAATCTCAAAATTGTGACTTACAACAATCTATGTAGGAGCCCATCTTATTTACCTTAACTTTTGTTTGGTTTGCAAACAAACTCTCTGTAATATCAATGCATCTTTATATATCTGTGAATCCGGTTCATTATATTTGCAAGCATTATCAAACATCAATATGAAATCCGAGGCCAATTCGTTAACAGAATTGTAGGAGCCATGCTTCAATTTGTGGGCGATCTTCTCCATATCGATTGGGTTTTTTATTAACTCGTAATAATCAGGATATTCTATTTTACTTGGTGACTTCATGAATATTAAAGCAAGTTGTCGGTATGCTGAAAAATTTATTAAAAAAATTTAAATCAATCATCTGTACATATAAAAAATTGCTAGGATAGCAATAGCTCGCGACTACACCCACGTCAAATTAAAAAAAACGAAAAAATTTAGACTATGTTACTCAATGATAACTTAGCTTTTTAATGGTAAAAGAATTTTTGAAATCAGCCCAGTAATTTTTGAGTTATCTCAATATATACAAAAATAAAAATCTTTCCTCTTTATAATATTAGTATAGATACAGACATAAATATTTTAAACAAATAAAAGCTTGGTTCAGACCATTAATTGCTAGAACCGTAAAAAGCATATTCTCTTTGCAAAACCATAGACAAGCGATCACATTTTCATCGAATATTCTAGCAAAGAATATTAGACATTGAAATAAAATGTAAAAATTCGTATTGGAAACTTCAGTACTATTTTTCGAAATCTACATTTTAAACTAAAACTTAAAAAGGTGTTACTATGTATATGTATACAAGTCTATTTTTAAATATTACCTTTAGGATCTCTATAATCTCGAATAGCACCATATAGTGTCCTCAGTTTCTGTTCAAATGGTGACAATTGCCTTGTTTTCACGGGTTTGATTGTTTTTACCGGGGTTTTCTTCTCGTAACTTACTGAATTAAGTTCTTTCAACTTTTCATTCATAAATCGTTCCAAAAGTATTGCATCTTCGTATATCATAGAACCTTCTTCATTGAATTGTCTACAGTTTGAAAACATCAAACTAAAGTCTGCGACTAACTCATCTATACTATTGTAACAGTCATTCTGAAAAAAAAAAATGCAACATTTACTATTATTTATAATACTTTGTTTGATTTTATAACAGCCGATTTTTTTTTCTTTAATACAGTATTCTAATATCGTAAGAATTATTGAAATAGGTCCAATAGTTTTTGACATTTTTGTTACATACAAAAAAACAAATCTTTCTTTTTAAATTTGGATAGGCTTGTATCTTTTTTACAATGAACTATTGAAAACATTATTATACGCATACAATATTCCTAATTAAAATCTAGACCAAACAACCTCTAATTATTGTTTATTGAAATATATAATGACATTTTTAAATTAGTAATTATGAAACCAATCTCAAAACATAAATACTAAAATTTAAAAAATGAAGTTACCACAATTTACATAGGAGCCATAAATACCTTGATATTAGCTTCAATAGTGAGCATATCAATTGGCCTGTCGATAACATTACAGTACTCTGGATATAATTTCTTGCTGGGTTTCTCCATAAACCACAACATTGGTTGTCTGCCGTCAGAACATGTGAACTCGAGCAAATGTTTAGATATGTAATGTAGTTTCTTCTTTAACGGCATATTAGGTTTAGGTAAACTCGGAGTTGATTGTGTGGATGATGGCAATGGATTTATACGTGGACGACCTGAAAACACAAATTTGAACATTTAAAAAAGATATTTTAAGTAATTAAATAATTAAAAAAATCTTTACTAATACTATAAAGTGAAAACATTTGTATGTATTGAAATAACTCAAAACTAATTGGTTTTAATCATTCTTTTACAACTAAAAAGATACGTTATCGCTGAGTAACATGGTCTCTATCTTTTAATTACATGTGGACGAAGTCGCGAGCAACAGCTAGTGTTTTATAATCGTTATAAATGTTCTTTTTCCCTTATTTACTGGTAAGTATGTTTTATAAATATAGCTGTCGCACGTGACACCATGCGCGGGAAAAAAAGGATAAACTTAAAAACTATGAGCATTCTGATGTTTCTACTTCTATGACCAATTTTAGCTGTTCTGGATATATGGATTATCAAACATCCATCCATCCACCAAATTTTTACACTTATAATATTAGTAACACAGAACATAGAAGAAAAGATACGGGCAATCTTATCCATAAATAGTCAAAGTGTCAATAGCGCCATAAACATATTTACTCAAGAATGTAATTTAATAAAAAAAATGTTTGGATTGATATTGTTATCTTATTCAAAATAGTAAGCCTTGATACATTTTAAAATACATTTTTATATTGATAATTAAATGAAGAAATTACCTCTAGGTCGTGGTGTTGAAATTTGTGTCTGCGTGTTCTTAACCGAAGATAGACTTTCATCATCACTAGAGGAGCTCTGCACTATATCTAACAACTCTTGTACACGTTGTTGCATTAATCTGAAAATACAAATTGATTTTAAGAGTATAATATACTAGCTGTTGCTCGCAACTACGCCCGTGTAAAAAAAACTTGGTATGTTAAACAGTGGTAGAGCCCGCTTTAACATAGCACGAATGGGTCGGCTTGCCCGGTACAATACCACGACCACACAGAAAACAGGCGTGAAGTGCGAGCAATTCCGCATACAGTCTGATGAGTGTCCAGGAGCCCAACTTTAGTCCCTTTTCTTTCCCACCATTGTCATAAGAATAGGATGGAAAGGGAACGTGGATTTGACGGTGGAGACGCATAGGAAGAGGAATATGCTCATTATATGCGTCTCCTCCTCCGTCGATTAAGGGTAGGCAACGCATCTTCAAATGCGGATGACTATGGGCAGCTATCGTTTCGCCATTTTGGCGGATCCAGGTGACCGCTTGCTCGTTTTCCACCTTATAATATAAAAAAGGCACTTTATCTTGTAAAAGTTAACTTCCTTTGTCAGCTCTGGATGCTTAGTCTATAAGTAAAATAAAACTATGTTAAGTCTTTACCTTTGCAATTTAACAGCATCTTTATACAATCTAGAACTTGGTACATTATATTGCTTGGCGTTTTCAAACATAATGTTCATATCGCCCGCCACTTCTGACACCGTGCCGTAGCCGCCGCGTCTTATTTTATTTTTAATTTGATTTAAAGACATTGGATTCTTAATCTCCTTGTAATAATCAGGATATTCTCTTCGAGATGGAAGTTTCCAGAATGGTTCAGCCATTGGTGTGCCTGAGAACAAGACAATTTTAAATAATCAAAACAGAATTTACAGTTATACTTTGTCAGACTAGCTGTTGTCCGCGACTTCGTCCACTCAATATTAAAATAAAAAAGTAGCCTATAATATGCCCGTCTATGTCATCTACCATTCAGTGAAAGTGCGGTCGAAATTGGCCCAGCCGTTTCGGAACAAACGCCGCTTGCGGGTATACGGACAGACATACAGACAATAAATTACACATTATACATCATATTCCCGAAATCTGAATTTTTTCTCTTGATATTAGACACCCGAATTTTATTGCGATAGATATATAAACGCGGTACTGCGACGCGCATAAAAAACATTTAATTTACCATTAGATCCAAGGTGGTTTTTAACTGTTTCTAGAAGTTTCCATTGCGGCGTGTCCTCGTTATCAACTTTGTCATCGTCACTGTCCCCGCCACTGTCATCAGAATGCTAAAAAAATTTAATAAAAAACCATTATATGGTGATAAATTGGGAAACGGCTTGAAGAATTATTATAATATTACTTAAGACATGAATATTATGTTGAAGCGCCAATAAATTAATGAAGGGTTTCCGAAATTTACCATTCGACTACTGTCATCAATACTAATGTTATAAAGAGAAATGATTTATAGTTTTAGAGTTTTGTATGTATTGAATACTCAAAAACTAATGGTCTGATTTCAAAAAATCCTTCAACATTTAGAAGCTATATTATCGGTAAGTAACATAGGCTACTTTTTTATTATTTTTTAATTTTACGCAGACGAGTCGCAAACAACAGCTAGTAAACAATATAGTAACAACAGCTAGTAATTAATACTGATTATCCAAATACGAAAATAAAATAGGCACAAATTACATCTTATAGACTATCCGTTAATGGATGTCTGTATGGTCTTCTTATTAAAGATAATAATAAAAATTTATCTGTGAAAAAAAAAACGAATTTTAATAAGATAGAAGTGCATTTGTTAATGATACCTTGAGTTCACTGTCATCAGGTCCTAGTGGGTCCATAATGGCGAGTGCGCGGCTACTGGGCACGGGGACAACACGAGAAGACCGCTTGCTTCTGATACGTTCTGACGTCTTCGGAGGACCACTCCGTCCGTGCTGGTCAATCTCTTGCTTACGTACTTGGATTATCTAGAAATATGTGCAATTGTAAATATTTATGGGCTGATGTCACGAATATTCCAGCGAATTCAGGCGATTGCTCGTTTGCTACTTATAATGTACAGGGTTATTGGTAATTCGACGTATTTCCAGTAGGAGGTGATAGAGGGGATCATTTGTAATAATCTTATCCCCCATATGCTTTTTGCAAAAGTGTACCATTTTTGAGTTATTGTTATTTTCAGATTTCTTAAAAAAGTCAAAAATGTATAAATCAAAAGGAAAAATAATAGTTAAACGTTGTATAATGCAGTGTAAAGAAATAATATTAAGGATTTTTATATACAACTTAAAACTTAATATTATTCTTAGTAATAAAAATTTAATTACCTTCTTCAAAGTCTTTGCATCCTTATAAATCGAACTTCCAGGTTCATTAAAGAGGCAGGCATTCCTGACCATCCGCAATAGATCTCTCTCCAGCTCCGTCAGAGTTGAATATTCACCTGCTTGTATCTTCTGTGCTATAGTTTTCAAGCCTATCGGAGATTCTATCACATTATAGTATTCTGGATAACGACGTTTTGATGGTAGAAATTGGAATGAAGGGTATAATGGTCTTCCGTCCACATTTGCTGTCATTACCTGAAAATATACATGAAAAATTAAATTAATTAAAGCATTCTAATATAAGTCTTGGTGTCTCAGGGGTTTACACTTGATTTGTTATCTACCAGGTCTTGGGTTTTAATCCCACCATGTACAAATGTGATTTTCGAATTGCATATGTATATAATTTACCCGACGATCGTACGGTAATGGAAAACATTGTGATGCCTGCACATACCAGTAAAGAAAATCAATGATAAGCTCACGCTTCAACTTGCAGCGGGCCACCATAGGTAACTATGACCTAGTCACCCCTAACTTAGGGTAGGTTCTAAGCCCCTTGGTGGGAATGTAGAGTGATGATGAAGAAAAAAAGTATTCAGATACGGATTTTTGAAATTTCCCACAATTATTATCAAATAAATATAAAAATGTGTCTGTTATGGAAATCATTTGTTACTCATAAGGCAAGAAAAAGGATTTATCAATCTTTCTTTGCTGACAGCCATTTCATAAACAAAATTGACTATACTACAAAAAACAATTGATATTCATATTAAAAGACAACTTACAGCATTAAACAGTTCTTCAAAAACATCATCTTCATTGTTGGTAGAGGTTTCTGACAAATCTTCTGCAACATCCGATCTCCTACTGGAGGAACCATTGCGGGACACTTTTGGTGTTTTTATTTCCTCACCTATAAAATAATTATAATTAAAAAAAAATCATCATAGAAATAAACAGAGTATAAGCAAATTTGTATACAAATTTTAGTTTTAAATCTCTGTTTATTCCTAAGTTTGACTTTATACAATGTTTATTTGTAAGGCTGTTAGTGTTTTATTAAAAATGTTTAGGAATTAGTTTAGAAATTGATTCTAATTGTACCAAGTAATAAATACATTTGCAAACTCTTAATTGACTCCAGTAGTTTTTGAGTTTCTTAGACACATAAATACAAATCTTTCCTGAGGTAAAGCCTACATTCAACAGTAAGTTACATTTATTTATGTAATAATATTAAATTTGAAACAGATATAACTATTTGACAATTTTCATACCATTTTCGAGAGTCTGCCTACTCTGTGTGTAAAGTTTCCATAGATCTATGGCATCTCTATATTCTACAGAATCAGGTTTGTAGAATGCCTTTGCATTGTTAACTAGTAACTCAATATCCGCAGATAATTCCTCTATATCTTCATAGGTGTCAGTTTTTAGCTTTTGTTGAACCTTAAAATAAAAAGGTGAATGTATTTATTTTTGATATCTTTGCTGTATTAACTATATCTGACAAATTATCTATAGCCTGACCAGGAATATAGATAAACATGGTATACTGCAGAAAACAAGAATCTAACTAATAACAAGAACAATTTTATAAAAAAAAACAGCTTTTACCCATTACTTGCACATGAAGAATTAAAAAAAAAACATAGTAAGTAGCTATGTTTTGTTCTAGACTGTGTTCTACATCTTGTTTAATTACCAATCTACATTAATGAAATATTTGGATTACATTAAAGGAAATTTGATGAATATACTATCATCATCATCATCACCAGCTTACTATACGTCCCCACCGAGGGGCTCGGAGCCTACCGTAAAGTTAGGGTGACTAGGCCATAGTCAACCACGCTGGCCAAGTGCGGGTTGGTTGACTTCACACATATCTTTGATTTTCTTCGCTGATATGTGCACTACCTACTACTATGTTCTTTTTTAATTCTTCATGTGCGAGTAATGGGTAAATGCTGTTAATGTTAACTTTTAATCAAAAGTTAACATTTTTAAGGATGTGGTAAGGATGTAGTGTAGCCTTAATTAATTTAGGTATCCCCATGCAAATTATTTTTCCATGATAATAATAATATACTAACTCGGAGTAAATCAATTGGCTGTGAAACCACTTCATAGTACAGCGGCTCTTGGCGTCTCTTTGGAGCTCGGATGAAAGAGTCACACAGAAGAGAACCATCCTCTTTTTTGTATGAGCGAATGGTGTCATACAACTGTTGGCATATTTCACTCTGGAATAAAAGATACACCAATATAAATGTCACGTGAATTCATAATAAAAATACTGGATTTTTACTACTCATATATGCATTTAGTACTTTTTATAAATATTTGTACGTGCATTTAATTTCGTAGTCAATTTAATATCGTACTATGGGGTCACATAGCAAAAAAGGAAATTTGTTTTGTTAATGTATAAATATAAATCGATTTAGTAGGTATGTTAAGTATTCGAGGTAAACATACCGGCTCTAATTTCTTCTTCTTACGCGAAGGTGGTGGTCCTGGGTTACTCAATTCTACAGCATCATCACTATCATCACCATCAGCCCCACGGCTCGCCACCGACGATGCCCGGCGTCTTTTACTCATTGTAAGCCACGGACGCCACTTCTACAGCAAAATCTTTCAAAACAAAATTCTAATGTCACTTTTATTAATTAACTTTGCACTTATTCTACAATATGACAGACATGATTAAATCAATTTCACTTTATCTTAATCACAATAAACAAATTGTAAATCCAAAAACTGCGTCATTTACTTCACCGCCATTTTTTCAATTACGGTATTTTTCAAAGAGTATGTTAGTTGTTTTTAATTGGATCGAAAATGTGTCTCAAAGACTAAGTTTATGCAACGATGCATGATTCATGTAAAATATCGTTCGAATGTATAGATTTTAGCTAAGGATATTGACTTACTTACCTTTTTTTCACTTACATCCAGTTAAATGATCAATATTCTAAGATCCCACTCTTTTCTCCTGTCATAAAGTCTTCCTACTCAACGTTAGATGGCGCTGTTGTCAAACTCCAAAACAGTTCCCAACGAATTTTCAGGCTTAAAAAAGTGTAGCTTAGATATTAATTTCAGGTAGTCACTTATCGGTATGATGTGGCTTTCTCAAGAATCAAGAAGCACCAAAGTATCAATGTGAAGTTGTCGTCGATATTTAAATCTTGAGACGCGTTACTTAAGCTAAGTTTAAGTTAGTATGAGAAAGATGAAGAGTTTAAATTTGGCTCCCAAAAAGCCTGCAATTTTATAAACTCGGTATGTACGTTCACATTTTTTAAGACCATTGTTTTCCTTATATTTAATTTTTAAGGCAATTACTTATGAGGGTAGAAGAACAAAGTACAATTTATTCAACAAAAAAAGTTTAGAGTTAGCTGATGTATTTATGTCGATAAAAATGTGTTAATTATCTCTTGTCTCCATATTTCAGGAGACGCTATGAAGTCATTACAAAGGGAGTAACCGCTTCAATAATTAAAAAATGCTACACTCAAAGGTAAGTCAAACTTCTTTCATATAATACTCACTAGCTTTCGCGATTAATTAAGTACCCTGTGTTCTTCTACACCATGCTCTACATCTATGCCAAATATCATTAGGATCTGTTTAGCAGTTTAGGCTACAAACTAGGGTCTGTACAAACACCCATTCATCCATCTAAACTTTTGCATTTATACTTTTATTAAGATTCACATTTGAATCTTACAGGAAAATTAAAGAGTTAATTACAATTAGTTGCTCTCTCTTGTTGGAGGCCCACTTCGGGTCGCTGCGCCAGTGCAGTAAGTAATTACAATTAGTATAAAACTGACAGACATATGTTACAAAACTATCATTGATTTATTATAAAAGAGAATATTATATGGATATATACACATTAATAATCACAATTATAATATTAATTGAAATCTTTAAGTTTTTTCCTTTATCCTTAATTAATTCTACAGTAGAAGTAATTGTGTACAATTTTAAGTAGCATTCAGGCAATAATTGCTAATAAATGCAATAAATTAAGGAGTTTTATGTTTGTAAGATTTAATTTGTACAATATTCAGAATCAAAATAAATATCAAACCATCTCGGAAAATGAGACAGCAACATTATTAAGTCACTTTCTTTATTATGTAACAATTTTAAATACTTAATAGTTTCTTTGATAAATACATTTCTTAGAGATTGTGATAATTCTTCATCATTAAAATCTAAAAGTAAAACAATGTGATTTACATGTATTGGATATAGTGAATGAAAGGAATCTATTGTACAGTTTGTTTTTATATGATTTACAAACATGGCGATAAATCTCTGCACATTTAAATTGTAATTACTTGTTATGAAGATAAAGTTTAAAATCGAACAACAAATCTGAAAACCTTGAGGTGATATTGAACAAGTTTTTATTAATTGCTTTATTTTTATATCATCAGAGCATAATGTCTCTAAATCAGCTGTACCGTCTATCAACACATGAGCAATTTCTAGAAAAAACTTTTCTAATTCTGGTGTCATTTTAATGAAAATATCATCCAAAAGTTTTCTTTCTGTAATGTGATCGTTCATGAATATTTCCTTTAATATACAACTTTGTTTGCTATCTTTTACATTCCAATTTATAACATCTTTAGAAAGTATGTCAAAGATATCTTCCTGCTTGAGATTGATTAATGATTGTATAATTTCTGGGTTTAGTCTAGATTTATATTTGGCAGATAATTCACAATTTTCTATTCTACGAAGAAGAAATGCATCTAAGGCTTTTTCTACATTTTCTTGTGGCTCTGGTGTTGTTTTTTGTTTCAAATTAGAGCAGTGAAATTCTGTAATAATTTCCGATAAATGATCATCAATTTTTATATGATCATTTGATTCAGTTTGACAACATTTTCTGATAACTTCTAGAACTGAGAGACGAAGGTTGGTTTTGCTGTTAGGGTTCAACACATCAAGTATTTTAACAAAACTTTTTGATAATGCGTTAGTAACATTTCGATCCAATAAAGGATTATCAAACGCAAATTCTGGACACACGTTATTGTTTATTTTATTTATTTTTTCTATCATTTGCTTATTCATTCTTAACTTTTATCTTAGTAACAATGTACCACAACTAGTTTTACACTTTCACTTTACAACTAATGTCTAAAATATGACTGCTTTAGTAATCGGAACAAAATCAACAATAACATCAAATCATAAAATCCATTATTTATTTGTTTTCTGTCAATGTCAAATTAACGTTAACTTTTCGTTAAGTTTGAACTGTGAGCCAAAGAGTATGTATGCGGAGAGCACAGGATTTGCAAATATGAAAAGAAAGATCTTTATTGTTTTTAGCTGTTAAGTTTATCTTACAATTTATGTTTAAAGAGTTAAGACCCAGCTTAATTTTCATCCCGGCATAAGGTAGCAGTTTTACTTCAAAAACATTTATCTTAAGAGCGCCATCTAGTATCAAGTAGAAGTTATTAAAACTTAGAATCCTTTTCAGAATTCTTTTTTATTTATATGCCAGCTAATGTTAAAACTTAAAGAAATATTCATAAATATGTAGAATTTTGAATTTAACAATTGTTATCATTTATAAGTAGAGGTGGTGATTCATGTTGACCATGACCCATCTGGAAAGTCTGCAAGTCTGCACTTTATTTGTGACTAAATTGCCATTGTTTGCCTTGAAGAGGCATTTACAGGTTCACCAGGCTTGAGGTAGCCGAGGCTGATGGCGCTTAACCTAAACCTCGTTTATGAGTAACTAAACTCGAGGACGCCCTCAGGAGCCTCGGCACGGGCCGTTACTTCGTTATTATTACCGGATTGGGAGACGAAGAAGGATATTAGGATATAAAGGTAATTTTTACTAATGATTTTGTGTAATATTCTTTACAATATATCTTCACTTTGTCCTTTTAAAAACAAACAATATAGTCACTTACTACTACTACGAGTACAGTCCAGGCGGGACAATACTGGTTCGTATTAAAATATGAATAACCACAAACATATGCTTTAATTGAATAAAACCGAAACTTTGATCAGTAATTTTATTAACAACGTGACGTGTAATATTAATCTAAGGAGAAAAATAAACCAATCATCGTCAAAAATACGATTTTTAAAATGCCAATGCAAAAGAATTAATGGAATACCATTATATCTTGATAGCAGTACTGCTTCGTGATGTCTTAATTAGTATGAATTCGCACCGTTATACGAAAGTATAAAAAGATCTTATAATTTCATATAGCCATCAGTTGGAAATGGATGGTGCGTTTCGAAAGTCAGTATTTGTGGGGCCCCGGTTAATAAATTACCATCGGGACCTCACATAGAGGTCTAAATACGTGGGCCAAGCGCGGGCAAGCCACGCCCGTTAGAATGAGATGGAAGATGTTTCTCTCTTGTGAATGAGAATTTATTATGAAATATATTGTTACATTAGAATCTTCTTAATTAATTACTTACTGTGATTTTAAGGATATAATATTCATTATTGGATGTAAATAATTACTTTTCTATACTTCTATATGTATACTTATATTATAAAGAGGATAGATTTGAATTTTTGTATGTATTGAAATAACTCAAAAACTACTGGGCCGATTTTAAAAATTCTTTCACCGTTAGAAAGGTAATTATGAGTACATCACGGGGGCATCGCAAGCAACAGCTGGTGAGTTATAAAGAGGAAACATTTATATTTTTGTATGTATTGAAATAACTCAAAAAGTACTTTATTAACAAGCTACGTTATCACTTAATAACATAAACTATGCTTTCTATTGTTTTATTTTAATTTCACCCGGGTGACTATGCGAGCAACAGCTAGTAATTTATAAAATAAATATACTGTCCTGAGTTCAGTGATCAATTTATCATACTTTTCGATTTCCACTCTTTTAATCATGTCAACTTTTACGCAGTCCATCCATTGTATGTTGAACCCTACGGACGTGATTCGTTTCATTTCCACGTTCATATATAAAGTTTGTCTTGTCACAAGCTGAATGCTAAGTACATATCCTTCTCTTATTTAACAGTGGTAAAGCCCACTTTAACATATGTATGTGATGCAATACCACGACCACACGTAAGACAGGCGTGAAGTCGAAGCAATTCCGCGTACAGTCTGAAGTCTTTCCCTTTTCACCCTTAAGAGGAGAGGATGGTAAGGAAAAGTGGATTTGACGATGGAGGAGACGCATAGGAAGGGAAAATGTACTCTTTATGTGCGTCTCCTCCGTCGATTAAAAATAGGCAACGCATCTGCAATTGCGGATGTTAATAGGTGGCCGCTTGCTCATTTGCCACCTAATATTATAAAAATAAGTAAAGATCTACCTTACTGAAGGCAACTAAATCTTGTCAAATATTCACAGTAATAGAGATTTTTATATGTTTCAGCAATGGAAACACAGTTACAGAATGTCAGAGCGTGACGCGATTGAGGACGTAATCGAGGGCGAGCGCTAAACATTTTAACGGGACAACAAAAATCTTACCATCAATAATTTGATGTGACGAGACACGTATGATTGATCGTGCGGACGACGTGACCGCGCGTTCTCGCCAGAGGTCGCCACTTGAAAGCGTGCGAAACTCACGGCGTCTACCATAGATAAGGTAAAGATTTTTATTACCAACTAACTGTTGTCTGCGACTTCGTCCACGTATTAAGATAAAGTAGCCTATAATATGCCCGTCTATGTCAGCTACCCTTCAGTTAAAGTGCGATCGAAATCCGAACAGCCATGCGGCTTGCGGTCAGACAGACA